GCGGAAAAGCAAGGAGAACAGAATATACTTCCCCCCCCTTAATCAACGTAATTGAAAGTTAAGCCCTTATCTTTGTTACTTAACGGGGGTGTTAAATTCACGCCAGCAAAACGGTGATAACGCTATCGATAGAAAATACGGTAGTTTAAGCTTAAGGCGGTAATGAAGCTTAGCGGAAGATTGAAAGCATAACGAAGACGAGGAACGGCCACATCCTCCTCCGGGTAGAGAAGGGAGTGGGAAAAGCTGAGGCAGTACTCAACAAGATCAAGGCAAGCATCAGCGATCGAGAGGTGGCGCTTTTAGAAGATAATTGCACCCTCTCTGTCAGGGACCTGGACGCGATAACAACCGGGGACGAGGTATTAGAGGCCTTGCTACGAATCAACCCCAACGCCAGGTGCAGAATAAAGAATATGATCACGGTGGAAAGGGGCAGAAGGTGGCATTTGTTCACCTTAACAGAGAGGCAGCCGAGAGTGTAGTGTAACAGTTCAAAATAGTATTAACCTTTGTAGTCATATTTCTATTTCCATTACCCTGTATTACATGTTCGCGCATCGTTGAGTGCAACCAATATGTCAATTCTCTAGTTACTTTTATATTTTTGTGTTGCCTGCCCGTTTGAGTTTCTCGATCTACCGATCAATGACGTCAGTTGACTGTAATTCGATACCTTGCTGTCATTGGTTTTAAATTCGTTTCCTTTATCGATAAGCATTAGATATTACCATTTATGGTATTGACATATCCATCGGCTCTCGTGGTTGGTTGGAATTATTCGTCGTCGGTTGCATCGTGACCGGAAACAAGAAAGTTAGCGTTTTTTTTTCTCGCCACCTGCTTTTAGAAAGACGGTCGATTTGTGATCCCGAATTGGGGGTGCTTGTTATATCTTCCAGTGGTTGATTTTGGATCGAACACCCTTGCGAAAGCATCTTTTAACCAAATCAACCCAAATTAATGTTTGCACCAAGCAGTTTCGTTTTAATGCTTGGGGACAAACTTCCGTAAGGAATTTTTTTTTGTACTGGAGGAATTTCAAGCCACCTTAATCGGGGAATCCATCGTATTTATGGTATAAGAAGGCTACCTTACTTTAACGAAGTTCTTTTTTTGTGTGTACTCTCTGCTTTAAGAGAGTCCTTGTAAGGAGTCAAAGTCCAACGATTCCGTAGCTTCTACGTACTCTCTAAGCGAAACACATCTACGTTAAACGACAACATGCAGGAGTTCCGTGTACTGTAAAATCTGCCATTGAAACGTTACTATCTCTAAGGCGCAGCCAAACAGATACTGCGGACACCAACCCTTTTGACACCTGTTGCGGTACATAGAAAACCGTTAGCCGTTTACACGTACACCAGGAATCTTAGGAACCAGAGACCTACCTATCGTAGTGGTGATATCTTATTATTGTTTAAACTATTGCCTTTGTGTATTTGCATTTCGTTTAACCCATACTTATGTGGTAAATGTTAACTGGCCGCACACTAGAGCCAACCATATTACTCTTAATTAGTACGCTTGAAATTGAAAGGGAATAATTTGCTTTAATTAACTGCATTTACTCATGTGAAGTAAATCACCTGTGAAGTACAGAGCTCTATACTATGATTTAAACTTCGATACCCTACAAGCTACCAATCAAGGTATTCAATCCACTGTCAATTTAACCCATTAAACTCAATCACTGTGCAACGGTAGTGGGTGACCTACTTTCAAGATTTTTGGTGTGAACTAGTTTCAGCTACTAAATTTATGTAATATTTCATTGGGGGAATTTTATGTAAACCCTGGAATTTGGGATAATTATTTCAACACTTATACTTGGGGTTGTTTAGTGTTTACATAACGTGTTTATTATACTTTATTGATTTTTTTTTTATTCCCATTTGGGGAACATAACTTTTGTGTTGGTGTTACGTATGCAGGTGCATTTGCACCCAATAAACACTTATTTTGGTGGGTTATCAGTTGCCTACTTTAAAGCTAAAGCTACCTTTCCTAGTTCCGGTAGTGGCAAGCGAAACTTAACTTGGAATTAGGTGGCGCCCAAGAGATTTTAATTGAAGCGACCAAAAGTAAGTACTGACGACCTAGGCTGGATCGAGGAGTTATAAGTGCCAATTACCAATTGAGTTAATTCTGTTACCCACAACCCTGTACATTAGTCTTTCTCTCTCCGCTGTTTGCTATTTGGTCCACAGAGCTAGCTGGCCGGTCAGCGGCGTGTGTTTTATTTATGAAGCACATGGTATTTTTGTAGTGCCTTGCATTTTGCTGCTTGCGCGTTATAGTAGCTAGGCAGGGATACCTGCGAGTGGGCTTGGCCTCATGCAGGGTGAAAATTAACGTGGACCAGATACGCTGCAGATGCTGGGAGCCAGGACACATCTCGGCCCAATGTAAGGGAGAGGACCGCAGCGCTCAGTGTTTTAACTGCGAGAACTCCGGGCACTACGCGAGGGACTGTAAGCTGGAAGCCACATGTCAAAGATGCGAGGGGCTGGCCCCAGGTCTCGGAGTAGGACATAGGGCCTACACTAGAAGGTGTAACTACGAAACAAAGCGAAAGGAAATCGAGGCAGCTAAGATCACCGGTGTAGAGAGACGGCGGAGCACCTAGTGCGAATGCAACGGGAGCCGGAGACGGGTGCGACAAATAACAATGGTGAAAGTGCTTCAGATAAACACTAATAACAGTAAAAATGCGCACGACCTAGCCGTGCAAAGGGCGCGCGAGGTGATAGTGATTTCGGAGGTGTCGGGGAGGGCGGTAGGCCCCTTACTACGGGACCTCACGGGTAAGGCGGCAATTGTCTTCACGACTAATCGGGTACACGTGCGTGCAGTTGGTCAGGGACAAGGATTTATGTGGGCGGACTTCGGGGATATAGTATTGTACTGCGTGTACCTGTCGCCTAACGCTAGTGAAATAGACCTCGTTGCCACGCTTGACAATCTTTCGCAGGCCATTCGCCGAGGGGGGATTGTACGGACTATAGTCGCGGGAGACTATAACGGCGCGTCCCCAGCGTGGGGTTCGAGAGCTTTCAACCGCAGGGGCACTATAATACAAGAATGGGCAGAAGGGATGGATCTCGTGCTGCTGGACGATGGGAAGGTCAATACATTCGAAAGGGGACGGCTAAACCCTTTCATCGACCTAACTCTGGTGTCTAACGCGCTGGTGGACGTAGTGGGCGAGTGGAAGGTCGAGGAGGTGGAGACCCTGAACGATCACCGGTATATAACGTGGGTGGCGTTTTCGAAGCCCAGCACCCAGGCGGGTACAAGCGAGGGGATGGAACTCAAATAGGCTTAACTCGGAGCTACTAGAAGAGAGGCTGCGCAAAACGCTACCGCAACGAGTTTGGGACGAGGGAATTTTGGAGGCATTTCTAACGACCATCTGCGACGCGGTCATTCCCAAGAAGAAGACGAGCCGGCCACGTTCTGTTTATTGGTGGAATGAAGAGATATCGGAACAAAGACGTGCGTGCATCAGGGCACGAAGGCAGCTCCAGCATCGCCGGAGGAGTGGGGGAGCGGTCGCCGAGTACGACCATCTCAAGGACTAGGCTAAGAAAGTTAATTGGTGAAAGCAAAAGAGCAGCGTGGAGACGGTTGTGCGACGAATTGGACCACGACGTGTGGGGAAGGGGCTACCAAATCGTTCTGAAAAGGATAGGAAAACAAAGCACTCCACAAGGGCTCACTGACGAGGCCTACGAGGATACGGTTAAGAGACTGTTTCCGACACACCCTAGAATCCGGCTAGAGGTCGAGAGGGGAGATACTCAAATGGCTCCCGTCACCGATGAGGAAATCCGGCAAAGCGCAGCCGCGATACCTGTAAATAAGGCCCCGGGGTCGACAATGTACCTGCGGTTATCGTCAAGAGGGTTGCACAGTCGTATCCTTGGATTTGGACCCAAATCATCAACAAGGCTCTCGAGACCGGGGTTTACCCCGGGCGGTGGAAGAAGGCGAATCTGGTCATGGTACCTAAGGCAACTGGGAAGTACAGGCCAATATGCCTACTGGACTTCTGGGGCAAAATTGCAGAAAGGTTCATCAAAGAAAGAATAATCGAACAAGTGGGGGACAAGCTGTCACTGTATCAATACGGATTTCGGAGAGGGAGGTCCACCGAGGACGCGGTACTCCAGATCCCAGAAGAAGTGCGGGATGCCAGCAATCGTACGAGAAGGACCAGAGAGGCATGCTTGGTCGCGTCATTGGACGTTCAAAACGCTTTCAATTCCGCGTGTAGGGAAGCAATAGTGGCCACCTTGAAGCACTTGGGTGTTGAGTGACAGCTAGTGCGTCTAGTGGAAAACTACCCGAGTGGGAGGCAGGTGGTAGCTACCAAACCTTCCGGTACACTGTTTACTTTCGACGCGAGTGCGGGTTGTGCCACAGGGGTCGGTCCTCGGGCCCCTGCTGTGGAACGTGGTGTATGACGGGGTGCTTGGATTGGATTACGGCGAAGGCGTTAAAGTGGTAGGTTTCGCGGATGACCTTACAGTGATCGTGAGACACAGAAGCAAAGACTTGGCGATTGCCAACCTCCGGCGGACAATTGAAACCATCTAGCTAGTGCCAAAAAAAACCAAGGTGGCAATGATGACCGGCAGGAGGCAAGTTATGGACGCCACGATAGAGGTGCTCGGTCAGGCGATCACCGCAGAGCCTACCATCAAGGTGCTAGAGATCATGCTCGACAAAAACTTGAGTTACATCAAGCACGCCAAATACGCGTGCGACAAAGCCTTGAGGGCCTATACGGCACTTATTCGAATAATGCCCAACACGGGCGGCGCTAGGGACTCTTAAGCGGAGAGTGGTAGCATCGGCAGCACTAACCATATGGGGCGAAAGTATGGAGCGAGACCACAAAGTGGGGTGTGGTGATAGCCAGAACGGACCAGATCACGGGGCTGCTTGCGCTAAGAGTATGTTGTTCATACCGTACTGTACACCGGGATGACGCCATGGTGATAGCCGGGTTGCCGCCAGTTGGGATCACGGCGAAAGCGAGAGGGGAGAACTGGGATGTCGACAGCCTGATGAACGGATGGCATGAGCGATGGGAAAAGCGGGAATCCTGGACACGGACAGTGATAAGGGACGTCAGGGAATGGACCAACAGGGTGTACGGCGAAGTCGTTTACTATCTGACCCAGTTTCTGTCTGGCCACGGTGAGAATGCAAGCTACTTCCACCGATTCGGAAAACGGCCAAACCCATCCTGCGCAGACTGCGTAAACTTGGACCACCCAGGACATGTAGTGCTGGAGTGCGTGAGATGGCACGCGCGCAGATTAGTAGCAGAAGTAGAAGTTGGCGAACACCTGACAACGGAAACGGTGGTTCCAATTATGCTGAACACACGGAAGGCTGGAACGCCGTGCAAAAGCTGGTGACGGAAGTGGTCTCCAGAAGGGAGAGCGAGGACCGGGAGAGACAGAGACGCGACGCCCATTAAGGCGAATCAACAGATACACTAAGGCTACCAACCGGAGACGACCACCTGTCTTCGAGCTACCTCTCGAGCGAGAATGCTTCGGCGGGCCCTCGACGTCACCTAGCTTAGAGAGGATAGAGTCGATTTAAGAATAGGCAACTTTGCATACGCCGTTCTGATATAAAAATCATGTACTGTCTAGCCTTAATATAATTTTAAAGCACAATGTTATCATGGTTACGTAACATCCGACCGTAAACTACCCAGAATTCAAAAACTTCATCGAAAAATGTTTACTGCCTTTGAGGTAACATCCTATACTTTTATACAGAACTTAAATCTTACCTCTCCACAAGGAAATTTGTTTGTATTTCTCAGTTTCAAAAACCAACATCTGCCATGGTTTTTTAATTATAAGCTCCCAAACAAAGCGTGATCAGAGAACTAAAAACTTTCGAGGAGTATCCCAAACTCTGATCAGCCCATCAGCAGCCACGTTAAAAACATGATCATCTTATTTTCAATTTGTAAATTGTCCTCATTCAGATTCTCTCTCGTATCTTAATACCATTATATGTTCTTACATTAAACTATCAGTTTTCGATTCACGTAGGAAGCAGAATTTCAAAAAAGAAAACTTATTCACAAAAAACGGACGTAGAACGTCGAAAAGTGTTTTCATTAATAGTACTATTTTACAGTAACTACATTATGCGAGTTTATTTAGTATTGTTCGTATGAATACTAACGCGGCAGTTTCTAAAGTGAAGTTAAAATGTAACAAAACATATTACTTTTATAAGGTGACGAATAATGAGAATGGTTTATGGGAGGACGTAATGTTTCTCATAATTTACAATTCCCGTAACAAAGATATAATAATTTATAATTCCATTTCGTCCGTCTTAGTCAATGTTACGTAAAAGGCGGCATAAAATTGTAATCAAAATTACAGCCAATATAAATTGTAAGAATTTTAAGAGCTGTTTTTGTAGAGGAAGCTTTATATGTTCGAAATTGAAATTGTAACAATTTGTTGAATAACAGTTCTGTGTTATTCTCAACTTTTCCTATATAAACTTGTGTTAGTATATTCAAAACCAACTCAATTTATTTTTGGTTATTTCAAAGTACATATTTCGGAATGTAAAATTTATGAATACATAAAAGTATTTTAATTTACTGCATAAAATGTTTATGGTCAAATTAGAGATAGGGAGATGTAAATTCTTTCCCATGTGGTAAACCAAATAAGACTAACTTGCATGTTGTCAATACTGACATTGGAAAATTGCTCCTATTTTACATACCGAGAGTTGTATAAAGGTCATGTCTGAATAAATTTGTCACTGAACTAAACGTGAATAAGAAACTTAATGAATTAATTTTGGGCCGATGAACGAGTTCGTCAGGACAATGAACAAGTAATTCGTTTACTTTATGAATCAATTCTTATATTATTAGATCGATGAACAGTCTACACGAATTTGAAGAATGATTTTTCATTGATGACTATTGACTAGGCGGAGTCAAATGAATTCCGACCCGCGGTAAATTCTCCAGTTCTAGAGCATTTATCCCACTGCTGAACAAGGCAAAGAAGGTGTTGTATTCCATGCAAGTAACTAAGAATTTAGGCCGTTGCATCGCTTCGTGTTTATTTTATAAATCAGTGTCCCTTAAAGTTGACGGCGGCGTTTTACTATTTAGAATTAGTCTTCTATTGTTACACAGGTACATGGGTGATACCCAGTACAGTAGTTTAAGTTAGTTAGTAAGTTAATTACCGACCGGCTTTCGTAGGGTATTAATAATTATACTTCTACTGTTTGTTTCTAAGATTTAAACATTATACTTTTTATCAAATTCCTTTTTTATGTTTACTCGACCTGTAATAAAACATTTGGCGACCGTAACAGGACTTGTTTTAAAATCATTATGCTATTCGTGTTGTGTATTATAAAAAGCGAAAAATGGATCAAGCGGAAAGAATAACAGTTTTTCGTATAGGCGTCAGAAGGCACTCAATATATTGATGACGCAGGACCACCTCAGACTCAAATGTAACATTTTTAACGTTAGAAAATAAGTCATCTGCATTGGATGCGTTTCAAGAACCTGCAATAGTCAATATTGGAGAGCGCAACCGATGCTGAATTAGAAAAGGAGTATGACGCTGACGAGTATAAGTTTATGAAGGCAAAGGTATAAGGCGTATGTCAAGTGCAAGCCCCGTTCAAGGCGGTATTCCGCCCGTATCCAATACTGGCGACCCGCTAAAGTTAAAGCTGGCTACGATGAAGTTCGTGAAATTTAGTGGCGATAATTGGTATCCTTTTGGAATTGTTTTAAGACAGTTAATGAGAATAAGAGGTTAGGTGAGATTCAAATTTCAGTATTTAAATCAAGCTATGGTGCCTGGCTCGGAAGCAGACAATTTAGTAAAGAGTTATCCATTAATTGCCGCGAATTATGAAAAAAACCCTCAAAGGTTTAAAAAATCGATTTGGTCAAGAGGAAATATTAATAGAAGTGTACGTGGGTGAACTTCAATTCTTGTTACAAAAAACGATGAACCCGATGAACAGTGTTTCACTTTCAACTTTGTATGATACGCTAGTGACACATTTGAGATGCCTAGAATCCTCAGTAGTTACCACAGCAATGCTTTTACCGTTAGTCGAGTCATAGTTACCAGAAGATTTGTTATGTTCGTGGCAACGTAGTGATACAGGGCGAGATGGACCCGCGGACCAAGATGATGCGTCGGTTCCGAGGAAAGATCGACTCGCCCATCTTATTGAATTTATTGAGGGTGAAGTTAACGAGGAAATGAGAATTTCAGTCGCAATCGCAGTGGCCAAAAACCAAAAGTGATTCCAAGAAAAATGTGCGTAGAGCGATGGGTCTGTTGGCTGCGAAAAGTGTGATTCAAAAGCACGTACTAGTGAAAACTGCGTTAAAGCCAGAAATGTCTTGTCGAGCCATCAAAGTGTGTAAAAGAGAGACATGCATGTTTTAAGTGCCTTAAGTTTGGACATGGTTTCAAGACGTGTCGTGTGAAATTAAGTTGTTCCTTTTACAGTTTATAGTGATAGTGGTGAGTCGATTGACCGCGTCCTCATTCACAGTGGTACACAGAAGTGCTATGTGTTAAAAAAAATTGGCTAATAAATTATGTTATGAACCTATAGGTTTACGCATATGCTTTTCGGGGGAGACCTGTCCGAAGTTTTAGTGATTTTTCGTGTAATGGTTCTATGAATTACAGAAATTTAGTATCACTTTGACCGATATGTGGGATAGTGACGACCCGATATCAATCCTTATTGGTGCCGATGTTGTTGGGAAATTGTTAATGGGTCGCCGTCAGGTATTCAATATGGTTTAATTACATTTGAAACATTATTAGGTTGGAAAGTTATGGGCTCAATTCGCCAAGAAGTACGTGTAGATGCGACCGTAGCAACGATGTCGTTGTACGTGAGTAGCTGTGACGTGAAGGATTTATGGTTCCTAGATGTATTGGGAATAAAGGATCCGATCGCTCATAAAACGCTGTAGCATGAAGAGGCAATGTATACGGAATTTTTAAAAACTGTTTCCATTAACGGCGAGGGACGATACGAATTTCAACTACCTTGGATTGAAAACCACTCCCCTCTGAGCGACAACAAGAATTTGGTTCTAAAACGATTGCAAATTACGACAAAGAAGCTTAAACATGAAGGAAGATATGATCGGTGTTCAAGGGGTTAGCTGAAGGAGTAATTGAGCGTGTACCGGTCGAAGAAAAGGATCTGTGGGGTCACTAACTGGCTCATCGCAACTGCTTTTGATCCATCTGCCTACTACCACCATGTTCTGAGTTTGAATGAGTGTTTGCAAAAATTACTGAATCTCATCGAGCAGCCTTCAATTGTATTAAGGTTTCGTGAAGGTGATATTGGGGTTACAGCGGACATTAAAAGGCATTTTTACAGATAAGTATCACGCCTAGTCCTCCTACTCGTACTGTTTGTTTCTAAGATTAAATAAACATTATACTTTTTATCGAATTCTTTTTCTTCGTCTAATAAAATCACAAATTATGTAGAACATTTTAAATTGACCGATGGCTAGCCCCTGTGACAAGTTTACGTTTATGTTCAAATTCGCCATTGGGATCTCTGTAACAGTGAGAGATACAGTGTAGATTAAACGGAAGTGAAGTTGTCCCTTCTTGTGACCAAAAAAACGCATTTGAAATTTTTAAAAATATCACCGAAAAACTGAAAATGGCAAATTTCGAATTCATTTCCCCTATGTTAAACGGTCGAAAATGACGGTTCCCGTTGTGGGTACTTTCTTCGAAGAATGTGAATGGGCCATCAGATTTTCCACACGCTAGATGTAAAAGCCTTGTGTACCAAGGAAAAAAGTTCTGGCATAAATATTCTTCAAAATCGCCAAATAAGAATGCTGACATTGCATAATTTGCGCATGCGTACAATTTCACAATATACTTGTCTTTATTAGAAGCATCTGTGGTTAAAATTTCAGTAACTATCTATAAATAAGAAAGTTGACAAGATTTTTCTTGGTTAAGGTGCCAGAGCATAAGCTACCGAATATCTTTTATATCTTGCGTGGCAGGAAAACACAATAAAGACCTTTATTATTATTATTTAAAAAAAGAACGAACTAAATATCTTGAAAGCTGTAGGAGTAGTTAACACAACGGATAAAGTGGCCCTAATAGCGTCTTCCAACATGAAAATGCGCTAAAAATAACACCTAACCGCAAATCTTAATTGTGAAAAATTTCGCTTCGATACGCCACTGAATGTGATTGAATTAAATTTGCCGTTATCATGATCTCTTCCGCCTGATTGGCACTGTATATAAATATGATGCCCACTTCAGCTGAAAAAAGTGGTTTAAAAACTGGTTTGTTTTAGTACCTCATATGTGTTCAAT